TTAGTATTATTATTCAGTAGCAGATCGGTGCACATCGGGACCTGCTAAAAGAAGTGAAGAATTGGGAAAGTCGGTGAGATATTTTTCTCCTCCTATCAGTACTAGATATAAAAAGTCGGGTCATGAGTGGTTTATTTCCCTCTGCTACTAGATTTTTTATTTTATTTTATTTATTTATGTTATTTTAAATAGACAATTGCATTTCATCCGGTTTTAAGCCAACACGAGATCAAAGTCATCACATTACGCAGTTTAGATCTGCTAGACACATCGAAAAGTCATTCATCTTATTAGTGCAAAATATCAACACAATCAACAAAATAAACACAAAAAACAATAATAATAATAGCTAACATATCAGGAGCTGCAATATGTTTTTTTCATTCTTTCAATGTTTCTCTTATTTATTTTTTTTATGTTTATCATTTTATATATATATATATATATATATATATATATATTATTTTTAAAATATATATCACAGAAAATGTTTCCAGTTGTGATAATGATGCATAAAGAAAATAATAATAATTATTATTATTATTGTTATTATTATTGTTGTTATTTATTATTGTTATTAATATTACTATTGTTGTACTATTACTATTATTATTGTTGTTATTAATATTGTTTTTTTTTTTTTACTATTTTTTATTGTTGTTTTTATTATTATTATTACTATTATTATTGTTGTTATTAATATTGTTATTTACTTTTATTTTTGTTTTTTATTAATATTATTATTAGTATTATTATTGTTGTTGTAATTTTTATTGTTTATTACTATTTATTATTTGTTTTGTTATTAATATTGTTATTACTGTTATTATTATTGTTGTTGTTGTTATTAATATTATTATTACTATTACTATTATTGTTTTGTTGTTGTTATTATTATTATTTATATTAATAGTATCTGATAAACATCTTTAATAATAGTTTTAAACATTAACAGAAGCTAAGGGCAGATCCCAGTGACAGAATTCGAAGATTTATTAGATCGTTAGAAAAGCCATATTCCACCTTTCACTTTCACTAGTCTGTACTCTTTGACATTGCCATATACAGCCAGTAACAAGTATCTTCATTTCGTTCTTCGAGTTTTGTTTTCTCGTCTTTCCAGCACAGCTGGATGAGATATTTATCTGCTTTTCCTGCCATTCTTCTGCATTAGCCTTTGATCCTCCAGCAGAGGTGATCCTTTGTGTTGTCCTGGGAGAGGACACAAAGCTGCAGTCCATAGACAATCCATAGAGCAGACAGCAGTCAGAAACTGTTCTGCCTGGTGTAAAAAAAAAACAAAAAAAAACAATACTACTGAGAAAAAATGAAAACTAAAACTGTCGTACTGGTATGAAGTGGACACAAAGACCTCCTCCCAAAAAATCAAAAAGGGGTTGATGTACTAAAGGAATAGAAGCTGTTCACTCAAAGTAAAGTAAATGTATGTTAATCAGGTGAACGTGTGATTAATTTGACCCCTGTAGTAGAAACAAAATCCTGTTTTTGTCATTTCCATCCATTGAACGTTTCCCCTTTTACTAACAAGCACTTTGGAAAGTGTGGAAGTCAAATGAATCCAGTGTCTCTGACTCTCTTTCTATAACCCCTTTCCTATTCCTAGCAAACATTTGCATAAACACAAGAGATTCTTCATTTATATTATATTGCAATATACTGTATACTATGTGTTGGTAGGTTAATGGGCTCCTAAATGGCCCTAGTATGTGTTTCTATGTATGAGAGGTAGAGACTTTACATTGCAAGCTCCTTTAAGGGCAGGGGCTGTATATATATAGATATATATATCTTTATATATATCCATACATACACACTATTTTTTATACATTTATACGTAATAAAAAAAAAATATATATATATTATTTATATAGATTTTATATCTATATATCTATCTATCTATTTTATATATATACACTATAATATATATGTATACATAAATTATATTTTATATGTATATGTGTATGAATATTGATATGTAATTAAAAAATATATATATATATATAATTTATTATTATTATACAGTATTTATAATAGCACCAAAAGGTATGCTCAGCGCTGTACATTATAGTAGGAGACAGTACATGAGACAATACAGTAACAAAACAATACACGAGGGGTTCAAGGGCCCTGCTCTTTCGAGCTTACATATATATTCACACACAATAATATAAATGTATACATAAACAAAAAAAAAAAAATATATATATATATATATATATAGATATGCAATGAAAAAAAATTATTTATATACATATATATATATATATATATATATATATATACATACACACACTCTAATATATATTTATAGATAATTTAAATAATTATATATATATATATATATATATATATATATATATATATTTTATTTATTTATTTTTTGTAAATTACAAATAGAGAGAGAGAGAGAGAGAACAGACATATCTCCTACATTTCTACTACAGTTTATGATGCATTTCCAAACACACTTCTAATGGACATATGGTCTAATCCAGGCACATCACAAAAAAAAAAAAAAAAAAATATGCACAGCGTATTGAAAACGCTCTGAGTTTTTTCTTGTGCGTAACAAAACCAAAATAAATTGAGGCTGATTTACTAAGGGAGTTAGGAATCTTCAATTCAAAAATACACCTGAATATTTATTGTGGTTATCCAATATTTTGAAAAGGAAATTCCTGTTTACTGCCTGGTTCACACCTATGCAGGTTGCGGTTGATGCGTTTTCCCACTGCATTTTGCTTTTTTTTTTTAACATGCATTTTTTATGCATTTCTGCTGCATTTCCATTGAAGTCTATGGAACCAAAAATGCAACCAGTCCCTGGTCCTTTCCTAAAAACGCTCTGGTGTAAAAAACTCAGAGGTGTGAACATTACCCATAGGAAACCATGTTAAATGGACTGTAGTGCATTTCTGCAAAACTGAAAACGCACTGAAAAACGCATAGGTATAAACCAGGCCCGATCATGTGCATTTTACTTGATTAGATAATTGAATTGTTAGTGAAAATTCAAATACATTTTTGAGTGAAGATTCCCCACAGCCTTCAGTAAAGCAGCCATGTTATCTCAGCGGCCCACAAGCTCAGACAAAGGATGCTTGAAATAGGCACTTGACCGACAGTTCTGATCCCTGACAGCCCTGCTGTGTCTGAATGTACTAAGCTGAGCAACTCACTAGACATCCTGCATCTGCTGACCACTGCTTGGTGTTCTGGGAGCCACATTTAGACAACAGCTAGCCAATGACCTGCAGGAGATGTGCAGCACACTGGCTGAGGTTTCTCTCTTTTTATTATTACAGGTATTTATGTAGCACTTTACATACTATACATTCATATCAGTCCCAAGGAGCTTGCAATATAAGGTCCCTATCTTGCATGCATATACACATACTAGGGCCAATTACCCTACCAGCATGTCTCGAGTGTGGAGGAAAAACCCACTTAAGCACAGAGAGAACATGCAAACTCCATGCAACTGGTGTCCTGGTTGAGATTTGAACAGAGAATCCCATTGCTGCAAGGCAGGAGTGCTAACCACTAGGCCACTATGCTGAGCAACATGGCCAATGCCTCTCCACATCCAACAGCCATTTGTAGGACACTTTGTAGCACATTCAGATGCATCGAAAACCACACAGGCAATTGTCACATGCTACATGTTGCTTTCCACCAGGGGTGGACTGACCATTTGGAAATTCGGGCACTGCCCGAGGGCCCGGGGTCAGTAGGGGGCCCCAAGAGATGCCCTTGGTACCTTTTTATAGGCTTTTTTGAGTTTTTTGGGCAAGGACACAGGGGCCCCATGATCCCCTATTGCTCGGGGGCCCCATGAGTTGTCAGTCCGCCCCTGCTTCCCACATACTGTGGACCGGCCCTTTAAATGATAAATCACAAGTTCAGGGGCGGACTGACCATTTGGAAACTCGGGCACTGCCCGAGGGCCCAGGGTCAGTAGGGGGCCCCATGAGATGCCCCTGGTACCTTTCATAGGTTTTTCTGGGTGTGGTTTGAGTGTGGGAAAGGACACAGGGGGCCCCATGATCCCCTATTGCCCGGGGGGCCCCATGAGTTGTCAGTCCGCCCCTGCACAAGTTTATGCTCTGGCCCATATTTAGGCTGAATTCAGACCTGCACACTGTGCATTTTGCCACGCATTTTGGAAATGCGCTGCGTTTGGGGTTCCATTAATTCTCTAAGCGATACTAAACGCACTCTGTTTAATTTACATTATCCCTTCTGTTTCTGTATGTGGATGATGGCACTGTAACTATTTTAATTTATAAAAAAAAAATTAAGTCCCTTTTCCGAATTGATATACAGATGTTCCAGATCTTTCCCATCCAGTCTACAGGGAAGCATAAGCAGGAGGAGCTTCTAGTCCTCTGCTGCTAGTCACATGTGCAAAATAAAAACCAGCCTTTGGGATACAGTATAAATAAATAATTAATTCCAATAAATTGTTTTAAATCATCATTCAAATATATATTTGAAATCAAATCTTATTTGTTGTCAATAATATTGTTTGGGTGGATTACTGCCAGTCACAGGCTGTGTCACACCCCCTCCAGCCTGTGTCTTATAACAGGGAGGTAAAGCCTCCATCAATCAAGATCTGATATCCCACCCATATTGTGTTTAGTTTGTTAGTGGGCATAGGGGAGTGAGGGAATGGGCTGTTAATTACCACTGTGCATAAGCACACATGTTTGACATGGGCTGCTCAGATGTGATGGGGAGGAAAATGCTTAGCAAAGAAACTCACTGAAAACTGAGTATGTGCACTAGCTGCCAACACTGCACTGCAAAATCAACAACTGCATTGGGAACATGGACAGAAGGGGGAGATAGAGAACAGCTGGATCAACCAAGTTTTTTGCAGAATACAGAAAACGAATCTCATAGTGACTGAGTGATTATGAGCAGCATGTAATACATGATTTATTGATAGTTTTTTATGATGTGGGTTTAGTCAGGAGCGTATTTACGGCAAGGCAAACAAGGCGTTTGCCCAGGGCAGGGATTTTTCAAGGGAGGGTGGCGCAACCTCCCAGGCAGAAGTGACACACATGGCAGCCAGTGACTGAGGATGGGGAGCAGGTTAGGCACAGGCACAGCAATGTGGGCTGCTGGGGGGTGTATCTCTCTCTCCCTCTCTCTCTCTCCCACTCCCTCTTTCCCTCTCCCTATCTCTCCCTCCCTCTCTCTCACTCTCCTTCTCTCCCCCCCCTCTCTCCCCCCTCCTCTGTCTCCCCACTCCTCTCTTTTCCCTCTCCCCTCTCTCTCTCTCTCCCCCTCTCTCTACCCCCCCTCTTTCCCTTCCCTTTATCTCACTCTCCCTCCCCCCCCTCTATCCTTCCATTATGCCCTTCCTCTCCCTCTCTCCTCTTCTCTCTTCCCCCTCTCTCTCCCTCTCTCCCCTTCTCCCTTCCTCTCTCACACTCTCTCTCCCCCTCTCTCTCCCTCTCTTACTCCCTCTCCCTCCCTCTCTCTCTCTCCCTTTCTCCGCCTCTCTCCCCTTCTCTCTCTCCCTCCCTTACTCCCTCCCTCTCCCCCCTTCTCTCCCTCTCTCTCCCCTTCTCTCTCTCTCTCCTTCCCTTACTCCCTCCCTCTCCCCCTTCTCTCACTTTCTCCCACCCTCTCTCTCTCTCTCTCTCTCTCTCCATCCTCTCTCCCCCCCTCCCTTTGTCCCCCCTCTCTCTCCCTCCTCTCTCCCTTCCTCCCTTTGCCCCCTTCTCTCTCCCTCCCTCACTCCCTCCCTCTCTCTCCCCTATCTCCCCCCCTCTTTCCCTCTTCCTCTCTCTCCCTTACTCCCCCCAGTCCTTTTTTTCTCCCCCTCTCTCTCTTTCTTCATCCTCCTCCCCCCCCCCCCCCCCGCACATGGGGGAGGCGGGGGGCGCAATTTTATTCTTGCCTAGGGAAGCACAACCAAAATACACCACTGGGTTTAGTGACACTTTAATGGCACCCCAAGTGCGGGCAGCAGATGCAGATTTTGCTGCGTGTTTATAGTGCAACAAATATTCCAAAACGTGCAGTAAAATCCGGCCGACGCTCCATGACCAAAAAGGTTTTGGAGCTATCACTGGTCTGTTTGTCACATGTAGGGTAGCCCATTCAAGTGAATGGGCAGTCCCAGGCGTGCCGCACATTAAAACATAAAAAACGAGCGAAAACATGAACAAAAAAAACGCGTTCCCACTGCGCTCAGGGGTGAATGGGGCCTCACAGTCGTATGCAAAGATTTGGGTAACTGCATACATCACAGCCCCTAAGTGTCTTGTAACAGCTCCCGGAGTTTGGGGTTGATGTAGAAGACTGTTGACTGGGCTGAGTGAGCTGAGGACCAAGCATTTTTATGCGTTGACGCACGTTGACGCATTCTGCCATAGACAGCCCATTAGAATTCAAAGACAACTCAGTGCATAAAAAGATAGGAGATTCTGACTTTTTTTTGCAGGGCAGCACAACACAATGCACGGGGCACCATGGGTTGTGCTGCATTGTGGTGCATATTAAAGGTGCGTTTTGGATCATTCACAATGAATGGCATTGCATCATACAAACGCATGTATTACAGCGTGTGACAGTAACACGGGTTACTGCAACATGACTGGGGAAAATGGACCCCTTACTGTGATCAGTCTCTACATCCTTCGTGAATCAACCCCTTTGGAGCTGATTTACTATAGGCGGTGCACGTAGCTTAGTGAGTGAGCTGACGTTGTGCTGAATTCAATCGTCCAATCATGTGTAAGCAAATATCCTTCTTTTGAATGCTCCTTGCACATGATTGGGTATTCTTTATGCTTAACCTCCCCCCTCCACCCAGCATTGCCACAGATTATTTCTCCCCCTCCTGTGCAGCACTGCCATTGGTTTGTCCCCCTCCCCCCCCCAGCACTGCCACTGACCCCACCACCACCAGTGCTGCCACTAATTCAATCCCTGCACCAGCACTGCCATTGATCCCATCCCTCCCCCTACCAGCACTGCCATTGATCCCATCCCCCCCCCCCTACCAGCACTGCCATTGATCCCATCCCTCCCCCTACCAGCACTGCCATTGATCCCATCCCTCCCCTATCAGCACTGCCATTGGTCCATCCCCCTCCCCCCCCCACCCCCAGCACTGCCACTGACCCCACCACCACCACCAGTGCTGCCACTAATTCCATCCCCCCACCAGCACTGCCATTGATCCCGTGCCTCCCCCTATCAGCACTGCCATTGATCCCATCCCTCCCCCTATCAGCACTGCCATTGATACCGTCCCTCCCCATATCAGCACTGTCATTGATCCCATACTCCTGCACTGCAACCGCCCCCACCCCACAGCACTGACACTGCCCCTTCCCCCACACAGCACTGTCACCAGCGGCGTAACTACAGGAGTCGCAGTTGTGATGCATCCCCATGCTTCAGGGGGCCCGTGTGGCTCCCCCGTACATCTGGATAGGAAGGACGGCGGGGGGGTAGCATAGAGCGGAAACCAATCACTTAATTTTCCTCCTGCATCCATCAGTGCCCAATTATCTTCCTCTTCTTCCTGCAGGCATTCCGTGGCTGCAAGAGAAAAATGGAGGGATCCCTTCCTCTATATGCCTCCCCTGCCGCCCCTCCTATCCAGCTTCTTTCTGCTGCCTCGGGCCCCCTGTGCTCTCTCCATTTTCCCTGCGAGGGATGCTGTCATGAAGGAGAACTGGGAAGGGGCTGGAAAATATGTAATTTACTGGCCCCTTCCTTGTCTGAATGAACAGAGTCAGTGATCGGAAGCGATCATTGACTCTGTCCATGCATAACTGAGGCATAGTAAACTAACCATTCATTCTGTGCTGCTGATGCTGTATCCTCCACCTACTTTCTCTCTTTGTCTCAAAGGTGGAACATCAGAGGTCTGTTTAGACCTCTCATATCTCACCAAATCCCCCCATGGGGTTCCTAAAAAAATTGTAAAAAAAAAATATATTGTAAAAAGATTTAAAATAAATAAAATGGTAAATAATAAAAAAAATAAAAGAACAAAAATAAAAAAGCAAATGACACCCAGTGGCGGAACTACCAGGGTTGCAAAGGTCGCACTTGCAGACCGGGCCCAGGAATTCTGCCACTGGACTCGTAGAGAAGGGTCCTGGGCTTGAAGGGAAGGGCCCCTGTTGGGGGTCAGGGGGGCCTTTCATGGTTTCCTGCACCAGGGCCCTCAAAGTTCTAGTTATGCTTCTGGGCCTATGCATCCATATCAGAAGAGTTCTTAAGTTGAATTCAGCAAGAAAATAGTTATCATGCTGTCTGCATCCCTGCAGTGAAGATTCACCCCTCTAATGATCATTGTTACTGAGACAAAAAGTAAGGTGAAATCCTCCGACCTCCCCTTCAGTCTGGCACGGCTGTACCGGCTCCTCTCCTGGACTGAAACGGCTTCCTCTGATTTCTCTGCACACTGTGAGCTTCTCACCATGTGCACTAGAAGGTGCAGCAGGTCAGATAGAGCTCCGCCCCATTTCCTGGCTGGAGGACACGCTCCTCCTCCTCAGTCTCTGGTCCGCCCCTTTCATAGACCTGAATGCAAACCAATTCTTCCAAGGAAAACCCACTCCTCTAGACAGTCATCATCAAGGCAGTTTCAATGTTCGCATAACTCCTGCCTTACATATCTGCATAGCCAGACCACTGCTGGCATCAACAACCTCAATGTGATACAGTGTTGTGGTATCCATTGTAGTAGAATACAGAGGTGCAATGTAATCCGGTATGATGGAATACAGAGGTGCAATGTAATGCGGTATGATAGAATACAGAGGTGCAATGTAATCCGGTATGATGGAATACAGAGGTGCAATGTAATCCGGTATGATGGAATACAGAGGTGCAATGTAATCCGGTATGATGGAATACAGAGGTGCAATGTAAAGCGGTATGATGGAATACAGAGGTGCAATGTAATCCGGTATGATGGAATACAGAGGCGCAATGTAAAGCGGTATGATGGAATACAGAGGTGCAATGTAATCCGGTATGATAGAATACAGAGGTGCAATGTAATCCGGTATGATGGAATACAGAGGTGCAATGTAATCCGGTATGATGGAATACAGAGGTGCAATGTAATCCGGTATGATAGAATACAGAGGTGCAATGTAATCCGGTATGATGGAATACAGAGGTGCAATGTAATCCGGTATGATGGAATACAGAGGTGCAATGTAATCCGGTATGATAGAATACAGAGGTGCAATGTAATCCGGTATGATAGAATACAGAGGTGCAATGTAATCCGGTATGATGGAATACAGAGGTGCAATGTAATCCGGTATGATGGAATACAGAGGTGCAATGTAATCCGGTATGATGGAATACAGAGGTGCAATGTAATCAGGTATGATGGAATACAGAGGTGCAATGTAATCCATTATAGTAGAATACAGAGGTGCAATGTAATCCGGTATGATGGAATACAGAGGTGCAATGTAATCAGGTATGATGGAATACAGAGGTGCAATGTAATCAGGTATGATGGAATACAGAGGTGCAATGTAATCCGGTATTATGGAATACAGAGGTGCAATGTAATCCATTATAATAGAATACAGAGGTGCAATGTAATCCGGTATGATGGAATACAGAGGTGCAATGTAATCATCCGGTATGATGGAATACAGAGGTGCAATGTAATCCGGTATGATGGAATACAGAGGTGCAATGTAATCCGGTATGATGGAATACAGAGGTGCAATGTAATCCGGTATGATGGAATGGAATACAGAGGTGCAATGTAATCAGGTATGATGGAATACAGAGGTGCAATGTAATCAGGTATGATGGAATACAGAGGTGCAATGTAATCCATTATAGTAGAATACAGAGGTGCAATGTAATCCGGTATGATGGAATACAGAGGTGCAATGTAATCCGGTATGATGGAATACAGAGGTGCAATGTAATCCGGTATGATGGAATACAGAGGTGCAATGTAATGCGGTATGATGGAATACAGAGGTGCAATGTAATCCGGTA